CGCTTCCCTCCGGTGCCTCCACAGCGTCTCCCCGCCACCACACTCATCCCTGCGACGGACCTCGGGCTCCCAGCGGGGTCACAGGTCCCGGGACACGGCCCAGAGCAGGCGGGCTCTGGGACGGGCACGTGCTCACACCTGTGTGCGCTTCGGGCAGGCTCAGGGCCCGTGACCCTCCCGTCCCGGCCGCTCCCATTCTCCACGTTTCCTCCCCGGAACGTGCCAGCCGCCTGGGTCCCGTGGCGCTCACCCAGGTGGCGGAAGTAGTCCTCCAGGCCGCTCCAGAAGTTCTTCTCGATGAACGTCTTCACCAGCCCCCAGGGCTGCTTGCGGTAGCGCAGCTCAGTGGAGACCCTGCGACAAGCCAGACCGAGGTCAGCGCTTCCCGGAAGGTCAGCCCGGCCCTAGTCCGGGGCGGCTCCACGCGCATCACCCCCACGGCCACCCTCTGAGGTCGGTGGCGCCAGGGCTGTGGCCTCGCAAGGGTGCCCAGCAGCCGCCAGCCGTGGCCGCCTCTTCTCCACCGGGCTCTGGGCTTCATCGCTTCTCCCTGGAGGAGCACCAGCCTGGCTGCGGCCGCCCCTCCCTCGTGTCCCCAGGCAGCCGGGGCCTGTGCCTCTCCCCAGCTCATCCTCATCTGCCCAGACTTCCTTCCAGCTTGTGTCCCTGCTCCAGGCTGACTGTCCTGCCCGTCTCCTCCCTCAGGGACGCCAGCCGCGCCTGAGCCTGCGGTGAGCTGCTCGTGCAGCCATCGCCGCCCGCCCACCACCTGCTCACTGAGCTGGGGGACCCCTCTGGAATGTTCTATCTGGGGAATAAGCTACAGCAGCGAGAAGTGCACAGAAAGAACAGCCATTCAGAAGCTCCTCCAAGGAGGCGGGAATGGAGAACTCAGACACAGTGGGGAGGAGGGAGAGTGAAGGGAGGAGAGTGAAGGGAGGAGGAGGGAGAGGAGGAGGGAGGTGAAGGGAGGGGAGGGAGGTGAAGGGAGAGGAGGAGCAGATGCCGCGAGCTGTGCAGACAGCAAAACAAACATCTTGTCAGAAGGCGATGAGCAGGTGCTGCCCTTTGTTGGGTGTGGTGTTCAGGCCGTCCTGGTTCCAGGCATCTCTCTGAGCTTCTCACTAAGCAGCGATTTTATTCGAATGACACGAGTGAGTGCCCTCCGTGCAACCAAAGCACCGTGGCCCGAGATCAGGTCTGTAACCATCACTGGTTGGGGGCGGGAGGGGGGGGGGATGTCTAGCCAGCTAACGGCCACGCGTCTAAACGGAAACCATGACATTGGAGCTTCTTCCACATGCGCTGGAATATTTGCGAATTTAAGTTACCACCATCTTCTTTACAAACCCGGAGGTGTCACCAGTGAGTCTGACTTTACGCTGGGCGACCAGCGTTAACACGCGAGGTTTGTGGCTACAGACGCGCGGCGCGTGGGGCAGGTCCACCGCTGGCGTCTAGAGACGCTTATGGAGTACAAAGGGCCAGGCTTTCCAGGTTACGGCTTCTTCAGATTTCAGGGCCCGAGCTCCTTCCTCCTCGAATGCACATCCCAGTGCCCGGACCGGTCCTGCCCACGGCAGATGCTGTCACTCACGCCATCACCCGGCGGCGAGTGCATGCTGAGGGCCTGGGCCCTGAGCCGAGGGCTGGGAACAGGGGCCCCGGGGCTGGCCCTGTGCCAGGCTCATTGTGCCAGGGTGTGTGTGGCAGGTGGCGCCGCCGGTGGAAGGGGCCGGGGCTGGTTCCTAGACCTGCTCTCAGGCTCACGGGGAATCTGACTCTTGGCAAAGCTACTCCACTTACAACCCTTGTTTTTAGTCTGAAAAGTGAGAATAAGCCCACCTCCTTCGGTCATTCTAAAGAACGCACCTTCCAGACAGCACTTTAAACCACAGACCACAAGCAGCAGCAGCTACAGACACTGCACCACAGACACACAGAGCGCAGCGAGCAGGCGCGTGAGAACAGCTGTCAGGACAGGGGGTCGGAGAGGGACTGGAAAGAAGGTGGAGAAGGGACGGCCAGCAGGCCCATCTCCCACCGCCTCCTCCTCCTCCTCCTTCCTCGGGAACAAATGCATGTTCCCCACGTAAGGACCTCGCGAGCGTCCTTCCAGACCCTTCCGGCGAGCCGCGGCAAGCACACCTGAGCCGGCTCTTGCTGCGGGCCACGCGCGTGAGTGTGTAGCGGTTGACGGTGTAGAAGTAGTCGTGGTAGGGCACGTCGTGGGTCAGGACCTCGGCGTCCACCACGTAGCACTCGCTCTCCTGGCTCGCCTTGTACATGGTCTGCATGGAGGAAGCGCGCACATGTGGCCGAGGCGCACCGCGGGGAAGGGACCCCTGCCCTCGTTGCCCCACCCGGCCCCGCGCGTCTGAACGGAGGACCCGGCGCCGCTGGAAATGGCAGCGTCTAAGCATGCGACAGGCTGCGTGTCCAGGAGCACCTGCACCCAGAACTCCCGCACGTCTGGCTGCACCTTCCCCGCAGGATGAGGCCGCCAGCCGCCCCTGCTCCCGCCTCACCTGTGTCTCCCTGACGGTGGCCGTTTTGGGAGCCAGTGGGTTGGTGAGGTTGATGGTGTAAAGGATCAGGCGGCTCTGGTCCCCGTTCTCCTCCTTCTTCCAGGGGTGGAAGACGATATCTGAGGGGGCGAGAGCCCTGCAGTGAGGAGGGCGAGAGGTGCCTCCCCAGCGGCTTCCCTCCAGGGAACTTCTGATGACCCAGCAGAGCCACTGGCCTCCTAGGCAGCCAAGGGGAGCCCGCGGGCAGAGAGGCTGGGGGAGGGGGGGTTCCACAGAAAGAGGCTCATTGTGGCACCGCAGGCTCTGCCCAGGCTCCGCACACTGACTATTCCCGGACGGGGCAGGAGGTCCTGGGGCCGCCCACAGGGACGCTGGCAACACTGGCGGGACTGTGACGAGGGCCTGGGACCCTGGGAACAAGCCCCTCCTCTGAGCCATGTCCTCCGTGCCCTCCCCTCCCGGCAGCAGGCTGGTGAGGCCCAGCTGCTCTTTCAGACGTGGTGCCTCGCTGGGCCAGGGTGGGGCGCAGGGAGGAGACAGGAGCAGGGAGGCATAAGGCATGGCCTCGGGACTCCTGGGTTCGAAGCCTGGCTCAGCCCCTCCTTAGCCGCATGGCCTTGGGCGAGGTCGTAACAGCCTGAGTCCCAGAGTCCTCGAGGGCACGTGGGGGTCACCATCCTCGTACACGGGGCAGGCATGAGCATTAGACGGTAATGCACGGTGCCTGGCACACAGCAGGCGCCTAACCAGTGAGTGGCAGCTGCTGCTCTTGACGAGACGGTGCCCTGCACGCCGGGACTTCTGTGAGCCTTTGGCCCGGCACCCGGTGGGCAAGCCCACGCTGCAGCCCTGGGGCGGGAGGAGCAGAGCCCGGCGGGAGCGTGGCCTGGGAGGAGGTGCTTGGAAGAGAGGGAAGCGGGTGGTGGCGGGAGGGCAGTGCCAGCCCCGGCCGGGAGGAGCACCTGAGAAGCGCCGCTGCTCCATGAAGTCGCGCTGGAAGGGCGAGTCGGTGAACAGGAGGTGGTAGAGCTTGTCCACGCTGAAATTGAAGATCTCATTCACGTACTGCCGGCCGCTCAGGTCCTCGTAGAAGGCCTGGACCTCCCCTGCAGAGAGGACGATAGTGACTGTGAGGCGGTGCCCGGGGGACACAGAGCGATGTCCGGGGGCTGCTGCGGTGCGGCCACCGCGGGGCGAGGAGCCGTGGAGTGGGCGCTGCCTCCTCCGTCCCGGGCACACACACCACTCCTGCGATGCCAGTCCCTGCATTCAGCCCTCAGAGAGTTCGGGACTGTGCCGTCTGCTTTTACACGTTCATGCTCCCTCATGAAGGCAGCTACCTCAGACTAAGATCTACACACATGGCTACTGCCCGGGCTCGCCAGGACCCGGAGGTCCAGCCATCGCGTCTACATGCCGGCGAATGGCACTGCCCGCAGAGGTGAGCTCAAGATGCTGACTCCCTGCCGTCATCGGTTTGTGCAAGTTTCTGAGGCAGCTCTGCAGGCCATGATCGCTAGGGCTCCTCTCCTTCCATAAGCAGCCCAGTCTCCAAGATTTCAACAGCTTTTACAGTTATTCACTTATTTATTTTTAAGAGAGGAAGGGAGAGGGAGAGATGGAAACATTAATGATGAGAGAGAATCATTGATCCGCTCGACCCCTCCCCCCCCACTGGGGATCGAGCCTGCAACCTGGGCCTGGGCCCCACCCGGGAATCGAACTGTGACCCCCTGGTCGATAGGCTGACGCTCAGCCACTGAGCCCTGACAGGTGGGCAGTGACTTCCAAATGTCTGGAGCTTCCATCTGCGCCAGGAGAACGTGGCTGAGGGTACAGGTGAGCGGCTGAAGCCCCCGTGCTTCCCCCGAGGCCTGGGTGCCCGCAGCCGATGACTGCGCTGCTGTAGGGTCTCAAGCGCCCTGAGACCCTGAGGGGCCACGGAGGAGCTCAGGGGCATCCTACAGGATCCGTGCCCAGGACTGTATGGGAGAGAACGTTGTCAGTTTGCACAAATGGCACCCCGGTCAGGATGCAGGAGCAACATGCACAGGCATTCGCCGGGCCCTGCCCCCGGGACGGGGGTGGGGAAACCAAGGAGGCCATGGGGGGGGGGGCGGTGGGGATGGGACCCCGGGAAAGACCACAGCGATGAATGTGCACTGTCTCCATCCGCTCACCAGGTCAGCACCGGCCCCTCCTGCATGGAGGCACACACACCACCAACCAAGCCCACCAACACTGCGCCTGGCTCCGCCCGGACCGCAAGCAGCAGCACGTTCCGCGTGAGGCCAGAGCAGCGGGAGGAAGTGAGGGCTGTTCTCTGAGGACCCTGGAGAAGGGCAGGGTCCGGGTCTCCTATCCCCGCTGCAGGCACTACAGCCAGTTTCTACCACAACTACTGCCTTCCAGGTGCAGCGTGGGCTGCGCTTCCCGGGTCGCAGACACTGCCCACCCCTGGGAGGGACGCGCTCAGGGCCAGCCAGCGCCAGCGTGGGAGGGGGGTAAGGTGAGTGACAAGCCTGGGGAGCAGGACAAGGCACTCAGCTGTTGAGCAAAGACAGACAAAGCGGGACCGATGACGTTCCTGCAAGCAAGGCCCTGAGAGGGGTCCCCGCGGATAACCAGTGAACCTTAAAACGGTTCTGCTGCCCACCAGCCTCCCCCCCACCCGGAGCCGGCCGACTCGGCCTCCACCTGGGGCACCTTTCCAGCCCTCAGCACGGAGGATGTGCTTGAGCTATATTAGTGAAGAAAATACACAAACATAATAAACAGAGTAAACAAGTAAATCCTACTGAATGCTAGAAGGTGACGTCCCCCACGTGGAGGCCAGGAACCGGGCAAGGTCTGCCCCCACTGTCCACCAAACGGCACAGCAAGCCGGAGGGCAGAGTGGCTCCTTCTGCCATAGGCCCCCGAGGGGAGCGCGGCCGAGGCGACAGGACAGCGTCGCCTGCTTCTCCCTGGGGCCTGTTTTCTCAGAG